TATATATGTATGGAATAATCTATCGTTTCTTATAGGAAATATCTTCTCGCTTTTGTACCTTTCTTGTTTAAAGTCATTTTTCCCATGGTACTTTTATGCAAAATATATTTGGTAGAGAGAGAGAGAGAGAGAGAGAGAAAGCTTACCGTGAATCAGCGATCCGTCACGTATTTCTTATAATAAACATTTCCCTTGGCTTTGTACAGCATACATATTTCACAAACAAAATATTTAATCTATTCCTACTACATTCATATGATTATCGCTATCTTTTACTGCTGTTATTAAAGGTCAAGGACAAAGTTTGAATTTCAAGCGTAAAATACAATAGTCTAAGTCGCACGGAAATACTACTTTAACATTGCAATCTGCCTTCAACTTTAACGACCGACACGATGGGACAATAAACGAAATGGAAAGTGTGGGTTTTTTTTTTTTAAAGACTTGACTAAACGAATACGTGTTTTCAGTAAAAACTCAATAAACACCGGAAACTAAGGGAATCAAATCAAGAGTCGAAAAAAAAAATCGGACAAAGTGGGAGGAGAAAGGCGCTAATAAACGCGATTGTTACGAGGAATGACGAAGGAAGAGCATTGTTTGCATTTTACAACGTGGCGCGCGCGCGTGAGCCTCAAACCACCGCAGCTTCCCTCCAGCCGTGTAATTTAAGTCGTGCGTAAAGTAGGTATGCGTATTTTTCTTACGCGCAAGATCCACCTGCGTGACGATTACATCATCTGCGTCTCGAGAGAGGCGCCGCGGTTCCCCGACCGATGATGGACCTTCGGCTCGGGCGATGGATCGGAGCGATTCCCTAGTTCTCTTCATCAATCTTTATTTTTTTTTTTCACTCGATTTCTCTTTCACTCTATTGTGATCTCTTTCAATTGACAACCCGTTCTATATATACGTCACACGTTTGTCGTCTCTCGTTTGTAACAATCCGCATACCGAAATCCGAGTACGGGACGCCTTTTACTTGCTACACGCGAAATACTAATGGTGAAATCGAGTCTGCGGTATGCGAGCGAGTGCATTATCAATAGTAACTGCGTTAAACCAGCAAATGCATTTTGTGTGTTTCGGCAGGATTATATCCCGTGTATCGCGAGGCAAGGAGGTGTTAGGAGAGTCGCGATTTTGTCGCGATATTTTCCGCGATAAAACTCGGACAACATTCGATAGCGTGACAAATCGATATGCCGTCGCGCACAAAAAAAAAAAAATCAATCTGAACATCGAGAGAAATATGTTCA